GGTTGCTTCGGACCCATTGCGTTGTGCACGGGCAGGAGTTCTGGGAACAGGAGCCTGGAGAGTTGGAGCTGGACCTTGAGTACTGAGAGTCTGGTTGATACCAGGAGCCACGGATTCCTGCTCAGGGATATCCTTCTCTACTCGCGCTCCTTCAACGACCCACTGGTTCACCTGCTTCGCTTTCTCAACAGTCAAGTAAGGGTGCAGCGAGGGTGGGACAGCTATGGTCATCGCATTGGTTCTCGGGATAGCGCTTTCAGCCAATTCATACACTGTATCGTATCCCTTATCACTTCCAAGCGGCTGGAAGGTGAAATCATTCCAGATGCGAGATTTTCCGGGGTCGTAAACAAGATGGGGTGGGTTTGCCAGATTGGTAGGTAGTTTCAACGCGTGAGTTTCTCCGTCGATTGAGTATTGTACCGAAACATACATCTCACCAGGATCGAGGTGTGGGTCGATAGTCGGATCTGGTAGAACTCGACGCTCGGCAATCGGGTTCAAGGTATTGTACTTCACGAGACGATAGCGCAACGCCTCGTCTTCCGGCGCCACAAGAATGTTGGTCGTGATAGGACGCTGGACATATGCCTAGCACACCAGTGAGCGGGTGTGGCTTCGAAATGTCAAGAAAAGGACTTACCAATGGCTTCTCAACCCTAGTAAGCTTAGCCAGGGCGTCATATACATCGACTTCACTGGTACCCGTGACTTGAATTCCCTTTGTATCGTCGAGCATAGTTATCTCGGTTGAAGTGAGGTCGGCAATGCTAGCAAGTAGTTTCCTGGATTCGAAGGAGAAGCACCCCACTCCGCCATTCTGTGATAGCCAGAGTTTGGTTATATGGATAGATGAGGTTGGGATCAGTTCGCAGCCATCCTCAAGGGATAGGTTCATTTCATCCTCATTGCCGTGGCTCTGGAGACTAGATGTCATATCTAGCTGGTAGATGCGTGGTTCCTGCATCGAAGGCATGAAGTTAGTAGATGAGTCGGTCAAATTGCAAATGGCCAAGATGACAGGAGACAGAAGGGGTCACAGCCTAACATCAAGCAGGTCTTTGTATTCATTGCCGGAAATAGTACTGGAAACAATGCCAGCGATTTGTTTTGTGTAACGATCCACGGAACCTTCAATGGCGATGATCTTAAAGGGTGAATAGGTCAGCGAAGCTCAGCTAGAAGGATGCCACAAGTGAAGCTTGCATCGTAAAGTTTGAGATATTCAAGATGGCAATCCGGTTGAGATGTCGCAGTCCTGACAGAATTAAGTTAATAAAACTGAGCCAGAAGACTGATTAACAGCACGTCATACTTGACTTCTTCACTAATTTCTCGAACCTGAATCAAATTGTTAGATCAGCATAGTCTTTCTTGTGAATACAGCGAATCCTTACACCGATAGGCTCAAAGCCCCATATAGAGGCGAGCGCCAGGCGCTGTTCCATCTCGGCAACTCGACTCCAACGAAAGCCAGAAGCGAGGCCCGCGGGCGACAGCAGACACGTACGCGAGGCAACCCTCGACCCTAAATGACAGTTTTACAAAATCAATGTATGAAGGTTGTGGCAGCCAAAACCAGAATAAGGGTATCGCGTAATGAAATCGAAGTGATAGTAAGAAAGAGCGTAGGATGAGGAATATGGGAAGAGAGAAGGTGGAGGCAAGTGGGAAGAGGGAGGAAGGAGGGGGGAAAGGGAAGGGTAGGAGCAATAAACAGTGTTGGTCTCACTGAACTGTGAACCCCAGGCGACAACCAGGCGACAACCGGTCAACAACCGGTCAAGTATGTACGACGACACCGCGCGATGACGGTGCGTGATTGCAGTGCGCGAAGACACTGCAATCAAACAGGAAGCGGATAAATGCAGCCAACGGTTAATCCTTTACCTCCTTGCCGTCAAGCAACCAGATGGTTTGGCGTTCTCAGAAGTGCAAGACAGAACATATTAGCATGATGTTTTATATGAATAGACGGGCATCTATCAAAGTATACTGAAGTATATTGTAACTGGACAGCACTGTACTTTGAACAAGATAGTGGCAAGTAGGGACATGACGGTCTATGTTTCCCAGGGTATCAAGCACTCCCAAACTCCTTATATCTCCCAGAGATATGCCAGGGAGCAAATATGAATAAAATAACGGTGGGTAAGAAACAGATGAAATGAAGGTTGGAGATGAAATGGGAAAAATAAAGAATACAAGAATGGAATGCAGAAGATGCATATTTCATGGTCCCCCATCACGACTGCCATGTCGACGCAGCGGATTTGAAGGGTTTTCATTGGGATGCTGCTTGATTGCAGGCTCGAGATCTTCCACAATCAAGGTGGTCAACGTGCCCGCCGTTGACCTGAGCCTGTCAATCCAAGGGGCCCCTGGCAAAAAATATTGCTTAGACCGTCATAGACTCGGGAATATTCATTGGGCGTCTTTGACTTGCTGCTTGAGTTGAATGACCCACTTCATCTTTCCTTCGGTCTCTTTCAGCGAAGTCAGGGCGGCATCGATCTTGGCATTGTCTTGCCGGCCCGTCTCAATCAGCGTTCGGAGATCTTCGTCTTGCGTCCGCTTGTAAACCTGGAAATTGGCGTACAGCAGGTCGAATCGCTCTCGGTTGAGCTCAATCTCCCGGTCCTTCTCCGCCATGATCGCATCCAAGCGCTCCAGCTTGGTGTTCTTGTCGTCGAACTGCTTCTTCATGGTCGTGATATCATCCCTGATCGACTTGAGCCGTCTCTGCTGTTCCGCTCGTTCCCGATGTGCCGATTTGGCCAGAACATCGTACTGGGTCCGCGAATGGTTGGAGATCTCCTGCAACTCGGCGCATTTGCGGTGGAAATCGTCCCGGGCGGAACCCATCAGTTGATTGACTTTCTTGGCCTCGCCCTCCGCCTGAACCCTCCGGTCCTTCTCGGTCTGCACCTCCGCGCGTAGCTCGTCAATCTTCTTGTCTTTCCGCACGATCGCATGGAGGTTCGTCTCGTTCGCTTGCTCGAGGTTCCGGAGACGTTCGGTCATGTTCTGTACCTGAACCTTGAAGGCGTCGTTCATGCGCTGCGTCTCTTCGGCGCGGGAGCGATAGAGACTACACTCCCGAGTCAAGCGCGCGACTTCTTCTTGAAGGTTATGGATAACGCGCCCGGACTTGCCCGTGGCCGCATGACCGACAGCCGACGACCATTCAGTTGCCGGGGGATCTTGGTTGGTCTCGTGGTTCGCGAAGCCGTTGGTGCCGCTGGGGGACGTGGGTCTCACGGGTTCTGTTTCGCAATACGCATAACTGGGGTTAGCCCCTCGGTAGATTATGGGGGAACGATGCGCCGTTGGAGGGTCTATCCAGCCGACGCTGGGTCGCAAATCCAGACGGAGGTAAACGTACCTGGGGAGGAATCGGCGGGCGGAGCACCATTCAGCTGGTTTGGGGTAGAGATTTCATTGAAGAGTCCATTGTATTGATGCATATTCAGCTGCGTTTCCACATGGGGAAGGCTGACACGAGGCGCTCGACGGGGATCTGACGTAGGCAGCGAAAGCATGTCCGGGTCAGCATGGGTGGTTCCTGGCTTGGGTGACTTCTTGCCCCGACCGAATCGGGCCATTCCGACCATAACGGGAAATGGGGTGGAATGTCACTTTGGGTTCTGGGATGAAGGTGATAGCGCCGCAATTGGCAAAGGTGCAGGAGAAGAAGAGCGGAGCAGGAATCCGAAGCAGGAACCTGCTCCAGAGAAGGAAGAGGGGAGTGAACCCAGGCCGGAGAACAGGCGTTTTGTTGGGCCGCAGTAAGGGGAAGAAGGGAAGGAAGGCAATTTGGATTTTGACAACCAGCCCGGCCCCGATCCTGTAAACACAACCAAGCCAAACCAAACCAAACGCAGCTCACAGCGCACACCCACCCGGGGGAAGTCAACAAAGAAATTGTTGGAAGGGGTGGAAGTGGCAGGGAAAGGGGACGAATGGTGCGGACGACGACGATTGAATGGCGACGACACAGGTCGAAAGAAGGGGGAGAGCAGAAAAGCACATACCACGAAGTGGATCAAGGCTTGATTGCAGGAGATCTGCAGCAGGAACAGTTAAATGATGGTCAGTCTGATGCTTATTCATCGCCGAGACATCACAAATATTCTCCGAGGGGGGAGTTGCGGGTGGTGGACGAGGGAGAGGGACGTGCTGGAAGAGGGTGAAGAAATGCAGCAGAAAAATCGATCGATGAGGAAGTTGGTCTGTAGGTACGGATGTAAATTGCTTCCCAAAACATACCGTCACTGTCCAAGCACAACGTGGGGTGGCGCCAGCACAAACTGGGCTGATTAATCTGAAGATCCTGGCAGGTCCAGTAAGAATAGATAGACACTGAAGAAGGAATGATCCCAAAGCTGGTAAAACTAGTAGTTTAGAATAAACGAAAGGAAGACAGAAAGAAAAGAAGAAGAGGAGGAGGAGGAGGTGGAGGAAGAAGAACAGAAAGTAAAAGAGTAAGTGAGAGGAAGTGTAGTCTTATTCAAAGAATAGTATGGAGTAAGTAACTTAGAAGATGATAGATAATGAATGACTGGTAACAATCAAGAATCCTCCCACTAAATGAATAATATGATCGATCGGCTGTCAAGTCTAAACTCTCATTGCCGCCACTAACTAGGTAACCAACTCAACTGGTCAACTAATGACCGGTCATGTTCAAGACACCCAATCCTTTGTCTTCTTCCCTTCAAGGTTTGGTCTGCCTGACTACCGTTCGGAACTGTCATCTACAAACAAAGTACAATTCAGTCCTGTCCGATCATTTATTAATAGCAGCGGCAGCGGCAGCACTGTGGATTATTCAATCTGATCGCACAAAAATCGAGCACTTTGAGGGCGTCTGGAGCTGATCTGCAAGCCCAGTCCGGAGAAAAGGATTGTGGCTCACTCTCGGCCCGACCCCTGTGGTGTCTGGAAAGAGATATATATACACAACAGAAGGGAAAGAGAAGCAAAAATGAAAACCTCAACCAACGCCTGTCGCCCAGAGCAATCCCAGCACCGCTCGGTCTCATGCGAGTTGATCTGAAGAAGAACGATTAACCTAGGCACACACGAACCAAGTTCTGACAACCAAGTAGAACAAAGTTCGATGTCTGCCAAGCGCACCCGGGAAGTTCGTCCAAGTCTACTAGACGAGGTAAACCACCATGGCGAGAGCACCCAACACGAAGCCCATTCCCGTCGCGCGAACAGAGGCAGCACCACTCTGCATATAAGCAGCCATAGCAGTCTTGCTGTTGGCGGCTCCGGCTGCATTCGCACTGGGGTCGTTGGCGGCATTGACGGTGAAAGTCTGGCCATCATTGCCCTTCTGGACTGTCTGCATCTCATCGTGAGGGGCTGTGTCGGTGGGGTATGCAGTTGCGGTCGGGGCTGCAGGGCTAGGAGCTGGAGGGACAACCGAGGCTACCAGCGTTGTTGGGCTGGGTTTGAGGACTGGGGTGGACGCAGCCTTGGTAGCTGGGGTAGCTGGGGACCCGTCGGTGACCTGTAAAAGCCCCGAGTAGTTCACATAGCCGTTCTGCTGGATCTGGAAGGCATAGTCGTCGCCGTTCTCTATCGTCGAGTCCGGAGTCCAGGTGAAGGAGCCTCCCTGGGCATTGCTTGCCAGGGTCTGGACGGTGTCCAAGTTCTGAGAATTGCCCTTCCGCAGTGTGACGGTCACGGGCTAAATTAAGCGTTAGCGAATGGAAAACAACGTCAAGGAGTGGTAGCAGCCGTACAGCATCCGAGTCCGTCTGCCACTTCAGAGTGGTAGGCTGGCCAGCATGAATGACCGAGGGCCATTGGGTGAAAGACAAAGCTGCTTCGGCAATCCCGATCTGAGCCAGGCATGCGAAGGCCGCAACAAGAGAGTTTGACGCGCGCATCTTGATATTGAGTCGTGATAGACTGATATGAGAAAGATGATCTTCACGTGTTGAGTGCCTTGGATGACAATATTCCCGCTGCAGAGAGATTTCTGGGATGCAGAGCGATATCAAAGGAACCCGACTGAATCTTGTGGACCTGCTAGATATCGAAAGACACAGACTATGCCTTCTTCGCTGTGGTTAGTATCGAAAACAACAATACGTACCTCGTTGACTTGTCGGACCCAGGACTGGCGCGAAGTATCTGTGGTCGAGTAGGAGGGCGAGAGCAAGGTAGAAGACGAAAGGCCGTCAGAAGGCTTCAGCCAGAAGATAGATCTTTATTGACGACCAAAACAACGCGTTGCCAAACAATAGGTCTGCCTGAATGCCAATGGAGGCGAAAGGGCGCACATGCCGGGCTTGGTTTGTAGCATTCCTGAAGGAGGGCTCGTACCCGGCATGAGTACAACAACAAGCTGGGGAATGACTGAGCAGCACAATTACAAGGTCTACTACTGCTCGCTCGTGGCTTTACGGGTGGCGCTCAGGATATTAGCCCACAAGAGAGTGAGTTCATCATGAAAAGCTCGACTCATGCTGTACTGCCGACAATACCATCCGAGCAGCAGTGCTGGGAGTAGCTGTTTGTGTCATCCAGGTGCTGACTGGATACTGTCTACTGCCGTGTGGTTCGTTCTCTCAGAATGGTCCCTTGGATCGTCCAGGAATGCAAGCACTGCTGCGTGGCTCGTGATGATCCAGAGGAAGAAAGCACAGCAATGAGAGAGGTCAAGAGTCCTACTTCGCCATGAATGAGAATTGAAGAGCCGTCGATGGCATGAGCACTATACTATGTCCTTGTGGCACGTCATGGGAATAGGGTTCTGAGCATAATCACTCCCTCACTTCAGACACCTTGATAGGAGGTAGAAAGGCCTTCAAGCTGCCAAACACCACTTCCTACACAAAGTAGACTCATTGTTTTGATTTTCCACCTTGGGGAAAAATGTCAATGCGGGTGGAGGGTGTTTACCTGCAAGGGGCAACACAGCAAATGAGTGGAGAGAGCAGCAGATCAACCCCATATCAGCCACGATCGAGGCAACCTTCGCTCATCTTACCCCTGACCGATCATCACCGCTGATGAAGTCACCCGGTTAGCTAGCATGTGGTTCATGCAGGCCCGATCTTCTATACCAAGTCTTGGCGCATCGACAGGCCCCCAAGACGGGTTGCCGTTCAGGCACAGGACGTTTACGGCATCACCTCTGCTGAACAGACACACAGCAGACCTAAAGTCTCGCTTTGCCGACTCGCTCCTCAACCAAGCCAGACTTCTTGCGGAATCGCTCGCTCACTATCGGGACGATTTAAGAATCGCAACGGTGACATCTGCCCCCGAATCTCCCGATGCCGGCTGCCGATTACCGAAAGCGGAGATGCAGCGGACTTCACCTCCAGCACGCATTGCACGGGGTCGACTGCCAAAGTTAATCGGCTTTTCAGCCCGATGCAAGTTCATCAAGCTTCAATGATGGGTCCAGTGACCGGATGCATCACTGGGTCTTTCTCACGAAGGTTACTGTTGCTTTCCGAGTTCCCACTGCACGCTCGTCTGTTCCTTCCACGATGGGGGATGGGGAAGGTGAAAGAGAAAGAAAAGGACGACCTCAACCCTGATTGAGGATCCTGTCACCATGATCTCTTCTTACTCTCTCTCTGTCTCCTTCTCGCTTCGAAACCAACTACCATTCTTGACACTCTATATACCAATGGCGTAAAAAAAAGTCGAGTCACTCGTTAACATCTGCCACGCTCGTTTCCACACCCTCATAACCTCGTCTGTCGCTACCACCCAGACTCAGCTTTCGATTCGCCACTTCTCTTCTATGATCTGAGCCAGGACTATTTCAAAACCCAGCATCTGGAATGTTACAAGCAGGCATATCCGTGATACCTGTGCCCGGTGTATCATCATCCTCACCATCAACCTCCACTACCACACCAGCAACCCTAACCCACACCCCCTCAGCACCAACAGCCCAGAGCCTTCCATTGGAAACAGCCCCCACGACCCCAACAACCACCACCTCGCAAACCCAAAGATTCTACCGCCTCAAAAACCATGACAGCACCACAACGACCACCAGCAGCACAATCCCAACCCCAACGCCAACCCCCGCGCACCACCACCTCATCGAAACCACCCGCCGCACAGCCCTCTACACCCTGACCCTCTGCCGCAACGTAATCACGATCCTCGAGCTAACCCGCCTCCGCAAATCCCGCATCGGCCTGCTCCACTGGATCGAGTTCTGGAACCGGTACTACGGGCGGCGGTTCGGGCGCGCGCTGGCCGCGCACGTCACGCAGGCGCTGGGCCGCATCGACGCGCTGTTCCGCGCCGTGGCCAACGACCTGCACCAGCTGACGCAGCGGGTGCACCACGCCGTCGCGACGGCGCTGCACACCGAGCGCGAGATTCTGGGATTGCTCGAGCGCATGGAGGACGAGGTCGGGGTGCGGCGCCGGCGCCGGAGGAAAAAGGCCCAGGCGATTCTGGCCCAGATGCGCGCGCGGCTCGAGGCCATCCCCGTCAAGGTTAGTGATGAGTTGCTGGACGATCTCAAGCGCGGGGTGTTTGCGTTGGATGTCTACTGTGACTATTATCCGGGGGGCGAGGACGAGGGGTCGACGGGGGCCACGGCGGGTGTCACGGCGGGTGCTGCTGCTGCTGCTGATGCTGCGTGGACGGATACCCGGTATATCACGCGGAGGCCGGTGAGTACGTTGGCCGTGTCGGGGACGCAGGCTTGGTCGTCCTCGTCCGCGTCGTCCGGGTCCGCGGCGAATGGCGCGTGGATGTCGTTGTCGATGCCGGTGCATCTTTCCCGAACATTATGATCGTCGGCTGCGTCATTCGTCTGACTGAAAATGGCTCGCCCGTTTTTTTGCGATGAACTGATAGACTTTTTGATTTTTTTTTACCCTTGTGCTTCCTTCCCCGGTTAGGAGGGCAGCGATATTACCACTACCACCACACTCCTTCGTGCAATCATGCTAGTTAGAATGCGGATCTTGTTGCTTAGATAGAATAGATTAGAATTAGCAATTGCTTACTATCTTTCCCCCCTTCTGAAGTCCGGAGGGAACTACAATCCTTAAACAAGTGATGGAAGATATGGATAGAGATATATTTCTAGTTATGTACAGTAAGTTAGTTGATATCTTGCTTTTAAGTCGTAAACCCTGCGCCGCTTCCTAACCCCGCCTATGCAAACTCCCACAGCCCTCGAAGCAAACTGCCCGGCGCGGTATCCTCGCCGCCATCCTCCTCCAGCAGACGGTCTGTGAATATGCGGCGGGGGATCTGGTACTCGACGACGGGGATGCGCTTGAACGGCTTCTCCTCGGAGCCCAGCTCGGCCTGCAGCATGCCCTGGTAGGTGTAGTCGAGGAAGTCCTCGAGGTGGTAGAACTGCTTGGTGAACTGCTCGGCAAGGATGCGGACAATCGCCGCGACGTTGGGGTGGTAGTGCGACTGCAGGGTCTCGAGCTCCCACAGACTGCTGTCGAGGGCGCGGGAGCGGACGGGGTCGGGCTCGCGCGGGTCGTAGGGGTCGTCCATGCCGCGGGCGGCGAGGAGGGCCTGGCGGTCGGCGTCGCGGATGGGCCGGTGCAGCATGAAGGCGCAGGTAGGGTGCTCCTTGAGGAGGTTGTAGATGAAGGGGGCGATGGCGACGATGGCGGGCGGCGGGGCGTTGAGGGCGAGGCGGGCGAGGCGCTTGATGAAGCTGGCGATGAGGGCGGCGGGGAGATGGGTCGAGGCGAGGAAGGTGTTCATCAGGCGGAAGAAGCGCGACCGGTGCTTCGAGTGCAGCAGGTCCGCGTCCAGCAGCGAGTACAGCTTCGGGTAGAACTGCGGGTAGTCCAGGTTCTTCTCCTGGATCAGGTAGAACAGCCCCGACAGCGCCAGCAGCGAGGTCGCCCCGCCCACGTTGTACGAGTCCGTCAGGAAGTCCATCAGCAGCTCCGGCCGCAGGAACCACGGCTCGATGTTGTGCACCATGATCCGCAGCAGATGCTTGCGTTGCGTCTCCGACAGGGTGTTGCGCAGGATCGCCAGCCAGGCGTCCTGCGCGTGCTTCTTGTGCGACTTCGCCGACACCACCCGCTTGTTGCTCTGGCTGGTTTTCGTGTAGAAGCTCTCGAACTCGTGCTCGGGCGTGGGTATCGAGTCGCATGCCGACAGGATGGTGATCAATGTGTCGATGGTTTCGGAGCTGCGTGGAGTGCTTGCGTATTCACTTGAGACCAGACGTTAGCTTGATGAGACCGTGCGAGCGGTATGAACGGGGTTGCCATACGAGATCTGTATGAAGGTGTAGTAGCGCACGTCCTCGAACTCCTTGGCCTTCTCGATGAAGTCGGACAGCACCGCTTGGCCATTGTTGGCCTCCACAACCGCTTCCACGACGTTCTTGAATAGACCCGTCAACCAGATACCTTCTTCTCCGGGAAGATGTGTGGCGCGCTCGTTGACGATGCAGAGACACAAGGTTAAGGCGGTGTTCTATTCGACCGACATTTAGTATATTTCTGGGCACGTTGAAGATGGCATCGCAGGAACGAACCTGAGACGAAGGATCGCTCTCGCGAATGATAGAGAGCAGGGCTTTCTGATATTCCTTGAGCCGCTCCTTCAACCACGCAACAATAATCTTTTCGTTCTCGGCGGCCCGGCTTGACTCGGTCAAGTTTCCTCCCGCGATCAATCGACTGAATACACGACACAGAGCCAACGCAGCGGGGACATTCGGTTTCTTGGCAGATCCTTGGGTGGTGAGCTTGGAAATCAGGGTTGCGATGTTGTTGTAGTGCTTCCGCGATTCGGAGATTTGGTCTTCCAGCCGCTGGATGTCGGCCGTCGCATCGGCGGACTCAGTGTCCGCGACGGCACGGCGTTTCGACGAAGGCACGCCGCTTTCCTTGACATTCTTTCTTTTCTTGGAGGCCGTAGCCGTGGCGATCGGGGCAGGCATCGTGGACAGAATCGACAAATCGCAAAACGGGCGTTGAATGGAGGAGCGCTAGTCCACCGCAGGGCCACTTTTCTTTTCCGAGATCAACCATAATTTTTTGGGGATAAGAAGAGAAAGAGAGAATCTCCTGCTCCTCGGTTAGGCGGTTTCTCCGGCCCACGACACCAGCCCCAAAGGGGTTTAGTGTCTTCCGCACCGCCCAAACCGCCATCCCGAACCTCACTCAGTCTCCTCATTTCCGTTCCAAACCCATCCACACCCTGTCAAGGTTCCTGTCCATCGCTACAATGGCTTCGCGTTTGGCTAAGAGCACCCTCGGTATGCCCGCTCTTACTTGAAGCCTGGTCTACCCACTTGACATTGGCCATTAACAATTAACCCCTCCGCTAGGTGCCGCCCGGTTGCGGCCGACCCTTCCCACGCGCAATGTCGCTCCCATCACTGCCACCTTGACCGCGTCCCGTTCGGCCTCCAGCGTCCCTACTGAGGATCCCAAGAAGAAGGCTCAGTCCATCCTCGATGCTCTCCCCGGCAACTCCCTGGTCTCCAAGACTGCCACCCTCTCCGCCGCCGCCGGTCTGTCCATCGCCGCCATCAGCAACGAGCTCTACGTGATGAACGAGGAAACCGTGGCTGCTTTCTGTCTGCTCAGCGTCTTCACTGCCGTCTTCAAGTACGGTGGTCCTGCTTACCGTGAGTGGGCTGAGGGTCAGGTCCAGAAGCACAAGGACATCCTCAACGCTGCCCGTGCCGACCACACCAACGCTGTCAAGCAGCGTATGGAGAACGTCAAGGAGCTATCCGGTGTCGTTGAGGTCACCAAGCAGCTCTTTGCTGTTTCCAAGGTACCCTCTCCCTTGCTGCTCATCTCCGAGCACCCATCTCTGGCGTCGAGTGTGTGGGCCATTGCTGACGATGACGTAGGAAACCGCCCAGCTTGAGGCCAAGGCCTACGAGCTCGAGCAGCGCACTGCTCTGGCCACCGAGGCCAAGCAGGTCCTTGACTCTTGGGTCCGCTACGAGGGTCAGGTCAAGCAGCGCCAGCAGCGCGAGCTTGCTGACAGCGTCATCGCTAAGATCCACAAGGAGCTCGAGAACCCCAAGGTTCTCCAGCAGATCCTCCAGCAGAGCGTTGCTGATGTTGAGCGTAAGTTGATGATTTGTCCGTGCTCTCATCGGATACTAATATTCGATCCAGGCATCATGTCTTCCAAGGCTCAGTAAATGCACTCGACATGGATAGCTTTGCTATAAGACTCATGTACAAATTAAAGATCATTTCTGTTACCAGTTAGAAAAACCAAGTACCATTGGTCGACAATCATGGTATGCCAGTAAGAGCTTACGAATAAAGCTTCGACTTCAGCAATAATCCAAGATTATTAGTCGTAACTGTAACTTGACCGCTAGGACACCGAGTAGTCTGAGTCTGAGCTCTGCCTGCTATTGCAATTCTCAACATGTACCTATGACTTGCAGAGATAGACTTCCAGGCTAGCCATGCAACAATATAATATATGGAACGATCGAAATACACCTAACCTCATGACGAATACTAACTGAATGGACACAATGAATCAGCAGGGGTGTCTGTGCAACGACACGCCACGTACGTCCAGTACAAGCACTGCCATCAACGTCTCACCTCATCACTTTGAGTATTCAATATGTGACAAAAAGCAATTAAAACGCGATGAAAGAAATTGCCGCCAAGCCGACAGCCGGGGGTGAACTGGTCCAACCATGGGTTGGCTTTGGGCCGTGGATGAAATTCCCCTTATAACCACCGGGTCTTATTATTATGATCGATTCGATGGGATAGAAAGATTGACTGATGATTGTGGTTGGAACAGACTTTCTTTCTGCACCCTCAGCCTCTTCGAACCCCCCCCATTCCAGCGCTTATTATTTTTATTCTTGTTATGCCTGCTGCAGCCCGCCGCCGCACACCCCGAGAAGTAAGAGGTCAAAGAAGAGAAGGCTGGCAGTGAATCTCACTGGTTTAACTTCGACTACTCCTACTCCTGCTTTTCCGATCACTACAACTACTGCTACGTATAATCTTCAATCTCATCGTGCCTGCTACTTCCCTAATTCTTCCTCCAAAATCCCTCTCCCTTTCCCTCCCCTCTCCCCAAGGGGAAATCCCAACCCGGCAAGAAAAAACCCCCCCCGTCTCCACTTTTTCCCATTCCCTCCGCGATAAGCCGTATACTTCCGTGGCTCTTCTCCCCCGGGTTGCGCAACAATGCCACTTCGCGACAAGCTCCAACGTCATAAGGAATTCCTCAACACCAACACATCCACCTCTACCACCCAGTATGGGTCCACCACAGCTGGAGGAGGGATGATGGCACCCACCACGCCCGTGAACAGCAGCAATCCCACCGTCCCGCAATTCACCTTCATCCGCACCGACACCACCACCCAAGAAGTGATCCGCCCGCCCGTCTTCGAGGGTGATGCCCCGGACCCCTCTGCACCAACCACAACCACCACAACAGAACAACAACTTGCGGCTGTTTCCCCGCCGTCCTCCCACCATCGCAAATCCCTCAACCCCTTCCGTCGGTCGCGAGCTCCCTCACAATCCTCAGGCGTGACGTCCCCGCCGCGAGCCCGGGGCGAAGGCCGGCTGTCGCATCTGCTGCATCTCGACCGCGGCGGTGGTAGCGGTGGTAGCGGCGGCGGCGGCGGGTGGTCGCGGAGTTCGAGCTCCTCGTCCGTGAACGTCCCGCCGGATCTCCCGCGGATAATCACTAGTGGTGGGAAGGGGGATGGCGATGCTGCGGCGGCGGCGCGCGAGGATGTGGAGGCCGAGTGGGAGCGGCGGGCGACGGTGCTGGTGCAACGGAATCCGCAGTTCGCGGCGTGTTTGTCGCCGACCGGTTCCACCACGCCCACGGGGTTTGGGATGGACGGGGCGGTGGCGTCGCGGTCACGGAGTTCGAGTTGCAGTCGGATTAATGATCCGGATGGCGATGTAAGTTCTTGCCGTTCTGGGTGGGAGGATAACAAGGGGTTGTGTGGCTGACGCGGGACGCGGGGCGAGAATAGGTTAATATCCAGGAGGCTATTCGACTGCATGAGGCTGGAGGTATGTGTTCGTCCTTTGCGGGAGTTTTTTAGGGCTGTGCGGTCATCGCTAACATTGTGTGCATGACGGTAGATCTGGAACGATCCACTGAGATGTTTGGTCGCTTAGCCGATCCTGAAGGGGCCAACAATGCCCTCAGTCAAGTGCTCTATGGGCTTGCACTTCGGTAAGACCTGACTACGGTTTTCGTTGGCTCGGTGAAATTCATCAGTCTGACACTGACTGACCCCCGTTCTTAGACATGGTTGGGGATGCGCGCCAGACCAGGACAAGGCGATTACGTATCTGTCGGCCGCGGCGGCCAATTCGGCCTCGGTCGAGTCCGAGGCGCTCCAGGCCGGCATCAAGAAAGGAGGAGCGGCCAAGGGCGAACTGACGCTGGCGATCTTCGAGCTGGCCAACTGCTTTAGGAATGGCTGGGGCGTCAAGAAGGACCCCGTCGCGGCACGACAGTACTATGAGACCGCCGCCAACCTCGGCGATACGGACGCGATGAACGAGGTTGCTTGGTGCTACCTGGAAGGGTTTGGAGGGAAGAAGGACAAAGTAAGTTCCTTACCACTGGGGGCCGTTCAGCTCGGGCATCAAAATTTTGAGGCTCGTTCGCATCACTCTGGACTTTTGGGGTGGTCTCAATGGAGAAAAGATAGGAACTAATTTGGGGACATAGTTCGCGGCCGCCAAATACTATCGATTGGCGGAGGAGAAAGGGAGCAAAACCTTGGGAAATTCTTGGTAGGTTCTTACCTAGTAGTCTTCTCATCACCTGCAGCGGATGGGGGAGGGGGGCATTGATAGGCGCTCGTGGAGTTTTGACCGGGACGCTTCCAGCCAACCAACTGCCCGTTCCCCTCTTTTTGAACTACACTACCGAGTGAAATACTCAGGCTGACATGACGTTTTGATGGATGATGACAGGATCTGGAAGGACAAGTACAACCCGCATTGAGCGTGTTTCTATGGATTGTTGGTAAATTTGGTCCGATGACGACGGTCTGGCCCAAGCCCACGATCAGGCCGTGGTCTTTTGGGGGTGTGGAGCTGAGCGAGCTGAGCTGAACATGAATGAACAATTGATACCCTAGCAACAAGGCTGCGACTGAGACCGTCTCTCTCGGTAGCAGGCGTCAACAACGTGCCGTCCATCCCGCCTCACATGTCGGCATCAGGGGACACAGACTTTGCACATAGAGAGTGGACCTAGACTCAGTTACGACATGACCCCTTCACGTCATCTTCGCTTTAGACTTCACTACACTATACTACCTTTACTCCGCTGTAACGAACACAACAATAGCCAGTCTAGAGCAGTAGATAATGAATTCAGTCATCCTCCAACACCAAGAACCTAACCCATTTAATATCAACCCTAGTCTAAGGCTCATTCTGGCCACTAATCTCGAGTTTCGAGAAATCCCCAATCCTCGTCCTATGACCGTGTAGGTGTAGGTGTAGCCGTATCCCCACAAGTTCTGCGCATAGGCAATGACCCAGGGACCAGTATATCCTTAGAGAAGGGTATACGTATACCCAACCCACCCCATCCTATTCCATCTCATCCGTCCTGGAAACAGTCTTGACAATAAACCTTACCAATAAACAATAGCCAGAGATGTGAACAACACCCCTACACCTACACTAGAATAAGATCCCGCAAAAGAAAGTAAAGCAAGTAGCGTACCTACCAACCCAACCCAACCATATCACCCAGACATATCCATCCCCACGATGACAAGACATCCTGTACGGTACGGTAACCACTGTACATGAACGCATCCCATCCAGCGTGGCATCAAACGCAAAGGCAAACACACTTACAGCATGCATGCATGCATTCCGCTACATCGACATACATTGAGTCCCCCCCCCTCACCCCCATCACTTCTTACGAACCTACTACCTCTTCTCAGAGCGTGGGTATCTATATTCCCCTTTCGAAGCCCGGAGTGGACCTTGATGTAGCGTGCATACACCCTATCGCTCTCATGGTAATGGCAATAGCAATGGCAATGGCAAGTAATGGCTAAACTTCCGCCTCGCTACTGCTCCTGCCACTGCTATCACTATTGCTGTTACTACTGGTCCTGGTCCTGGTCCTGCTTAGCTACTGCTCCTGCTTAACTACTGCGACTTGCTAAGCTACAGCTCCTGCTTAGCTACTGCGACTTGCTAAGCTCCCCCAGCCAGACAGCCCGTCTCCGAACTATGTCTATGCCTAGAAAATGCACTAACCTTGAAGTATACATACGGTACAGTGCTCGATCCACACTGAGAGCCAAGAGAGGATACTCGCTCGGATCCTTCATTTTCATTCTCATCCTCACCGTAAATCTCGAAGCGACGAGGCAGTGTCCCCGTCTCACTCATACAGCAAGCATCATTCTTAGTTCCTCGAGGCAGTGAGGCAGTGCTTTACTTCTGCTTCTACTGCTCCAATTCAACGGAACCACCTACAAGAAACCTACAGACTTCCTTACCAACCACCGACAAGATCATAGAATCCCCAAACTCATCCCCAAATGCATTGTCAGAGCAGATTTTATATACACCACCAACACCGGTAAATGCACAGATGCAGACAAAAGAGACGAGTGTATGCAATTCTGTACCAAAAGAATGAATATGGGGACTTGACGTCCACCAAGCCACGAGCACAACCATAACCACCAGCATCAACCAACTGCTGCAGTCAGTTGGTCATTAACCAGTAATCAGGTGTGAGTGGCTAGGTCAAGTGGAAGCTCCCTCCAGCAATCTGCACTGCATCAACAACTGCAGAAGCTCCAAAAAAAATCTGTCTGACAAAGGAGAATGAGAAAGAAGGTCGGAGTACCTCCCGAAGAAGACTCCACAAAATCCAAATCCAGAACCAAGAACCATAACCAGACCAAACAATCCATCATCAACATCATCATCGTAGACATTAAACCACCCCTCTCAAAAACATAACATAGTATCGTATCGTAACACATAATCATAAAAGCTGCCGCGCTCGGCTCCCAGCCCAGTATCCTCGCAATGCAAACCCAAAATCAAATAAACCCGAATAAGAAACACGCCGCATCGAAAAGCCAGATTCGAAGCGCTGCGCTGGAGCATGTCAAAGTCAAAGTCAAGTTGCCGTCCCGTTTGTTCTGTTGTTCCCGCCTGTTAATTGGTTCGTCGGAGATAAACACAGTAGAGGTCCTCTGCGTATTCCGGTAAAAAGTGTGTGTGCACGAATTCCAAGGTAGGCTGCCACCGCCGACCTTGGAGAATATGTTCTGGATCAAAGCGAATGTGCAAGAAGTAAACTGAGTCAGTCTCGCGTAAGTTGTGTAAGCATGTACACGAATGCAAGGTAAGCCCGTATTTGCCACCCCATCGTGAGGGGGCAGAAAGTCTGATCATAGATATACGCCGGTGAAGCCAGCGAAGCCGAGGGAGAGAAAAAGCGTAAGCGCGCCGGCAATAAAAAAGAACAACAGCATCGCTAATTTGACAGACGTGATTCATCAATGTAATTGCTTAGCCGTCAGATATATCCAGCCGAGGTGAAGTGAATGGTTTGGTAAGTTGGTAAGTTGGTAAGTTGAGTAAAGCTGTCTATGTATATATGGGCTAATCATTCTGGCTTATCTGGGCCATGCAGTCGTGGGGTCGTTAAAAAAAGCACTGTCACTGTGCTGGAGAGAAAGTTGGTCTTCCCAGAAGACTCAAGGTTGCAGAAGGCGAAAGGATGAAGGCAACGGAACTCAATCAGGCCGCTTAAGATGTCTGTGGTGGACGCAGAGAAGAAACGCAGGCAAATGGAGGAGAAGCGGAGGTGGGTGGGGTGGGTTCGATGGCGAGCCACCAACCCAGGATCAAAAATTCTACTAGTGACCAAAATTGGCGTCTTCTTCCTTGACCGTAGAGACACCACAGTCTTGGACCATGCGGCGGAAGTCCCGGATCACCTTTTCAGGGACCCGGTCCCACATTAGAGATCGTGAGTAGACGTCGGAGGTGGCCTTCGTCGACATCTTGCTCTGAACACTGCCTCTCATGGCAGCCAGAGCTTGTTGAAGGTTCGATGGCTGCTGTTGCTTGTACTCAACACCAGCATCGTCGTAAGTAGTCAAAGAGTTGTACTGGTCCGCATTGAGAGCAAAGACCTGCTCGTGCTCCTGCTGCTTGGAGGGCATGACCAGGGTGCTGTGGAGCTCATCAAGGTTGGACGGCACCGCAGTGCCAGTCATCTGGGCCATCTGGGCGCCAGTGATGGTGCTAGGCATAACGCCAGCAGCCGAGGGAGCGACAGCGGCCTGACCCATCGGCTGGGCGAGCTCGGGAGGAGACGACGACAATACGGCCTTCAGCACGTTGGCTGATTCCGCGCGGTACTCCTCCGAGAGCTGCGGCATGGAGCGAGCAGAAAGCGAGGAGCCGTTCGATGCCACGAACGCGCCGAACAGCAGGCACATGTAGAACGCATTCCAGCTGAATGGGTAGTCGCTGTTCGCCTTATCCTTCTCGTTCGATGCGACAACCATCGAAGTGGTTTGGGCAGACGAGGCGGCAACTGCCTCGGCATCCAGAGAGAGACTGTTGACCATCGTGAAGTCCTCCCAAGGGCTGCTATCCATCGTCAAGTTCTCAAAGTCAGAGAACTCCGAGGGCAGATTCGAGGGGGCCGATGGTCTGGCGTGACGCTCGAGTTTCTCCACGGTCTCCTTGAGAATGTTGTTCTTCTTACGAAGCTCAGCGGTCTCGAGGGTGTGCACGCGGATCAGCTCGTCCTTCTCCATGTGCATCGTGTTGATGTACTGGGTGATCTCCTGCTGGGCGGCCATCCATTCGCTCTTCTCACGAAGGAGCTCCGCCTCTCGGAGGCGCATGTTCTGCAGCTCCTCTTCGAGATCGCTGATGATCTGCGTGAACTGCTTCTTCTCCTCTTCCAGCTTTTCCGTGTGCAGCTTCTTGCGCTGGCGGGAGTCCAGTCTAAAGTGTGGTTAGTGATGTCATTGCGCGTGGGAGGAGGGGCACTTACGCTGCCTGGCGGTTTCGCAGTAGTCGCTTCTGCTGCTTCAATTCCTTGATCTCCTCCTCATTGGTCGATTGACTGATGAGCTGGTCAATGTTGCTCAGCGTCCGCTCTGCAGGGATCTCGAAGCGGGCATTCTTCTTGCGGATGCCGTCCCGGCGCATGCTCAACGGGGAGCTGTTGCGGTAGGTGGGACTCTTGGTTGGACGGGCCACGGCATCGGCCATGTCGGTGGCGGCAGGCATCCAACCCTGACTCGATTGCGGCGACATAGCCACGGCGGCCGGGTGGGCGAAGGCCATGCCGGGTCGGTAAGACATGGAGGGGATGTTGATGGTGCTGACTGGACCGACGGCGCCGCCTGCGAACGGAGCGGAGGCGCTGTGGTCGAGCTCGGAAGGGAAGTGCTCGTACATGGCGGTGGGAGTGCATGCGCCCGAGTCCTTGGACAGGGACCACGAGGCCTGCTGAGCGTATGCTGCGGACGGATGAGCGCCGTCGACGCGCATGAAAGGATTGGGGGCGGAATCAAAGAACGGGTGGCCGACTTGAGAGTTGTGGCGGGACTGATTGCTAGAGACAGAATGGGAGAAGTCGGACCAGACGGAATCTCGATGCGTGTATGCATCGGGTGCATGATCATATGAGGGTCTGCGGTGGTCGGCAGCTGAGGAAGCCATATCGGGGGAAGTAGAGTCCAGGATCTTGTCGTCTAATACACTCATCTCATCCTCTTCGGGAAATGCAGGTTTGGCATCCAAGGTAGTAGGGGATTGTTGATAGAAGTCAAATGATGACGGTTGGGAATATCTGGCCATGATGGTAGATAATGTGAGTGTGATGGAGGGAGAAGAAACGGGGGAAGAAGAGGAAGAAGAAGAAGAAGGCGTTGGTCGTGGCCCAAAGAGAAGCAGTCGTGGTAATAGAACCGACTGGGCAAGAGG